GCTGCTTACATAGCAAAATCTGGTGAGAATAGTTTTCTTCCACCTTCAGAATGATAGCAGTTGGAATACTTTCGCACTGCGCCACAATACTCTGTTTATGCTCCTCGACCGTTCTCGGTTTTCGGGAATAAACTGTTCGCTTTGAATAGATGGATAGGAGAAAGCCACTTGGGGGTAGGGCAGCAGATGACGTGGAGACGAGGCATAAAGAAATGTACAGAGCGATTAGGTAGAGTAGGTGTCTCTCGTCTTCCGGGTTGGCGTCCAAAAGACTCCGTAACTGAATGGTTGGAGACTCGGACGGCCATGGCAGCAAACCGCCAGCAGCGGCCATTTTACTTTCACTTCTTATCAGACCAGAACGTTTGAAATTGTTTGTATGCACAGTTGGACTGTGTACTCTGTGTCAGCCATAGAGGTTCTCTTTCTTTTCCCGTCCCCCGATATAGGCCTAATCCATATCCTCACTTTTTCTTCGTATGCATTATTAGTTTTAGCATCGACCAGCGAAGTTAGCTTCACTGTATTACGCTGTACAGTGATCATGCTCAGTTGAGATAATCTTGGCATAGGAAAATCTGTGTTAACCCACTTCCACCTCGTGTATCCGTACTAGGTCGTCTCAGCCGGAATCTAGCCTAGGTCGTGGTCGTGGTCGTGGCCGCGGTCGCGGTGGTCCATCAAGTGTTCGTGGCGGTCGAGGGCGTGCTACCGCACCCAGCGTAATGAAGAGTCAGACCAAACTGGATTTCAGTGCCGGGACCAAAAAACCCACACAGCCGCGAAAACAAGCATTTGATATTTCCGAGGACGAGGAAGAGGAGCCTGACAACGACTTTGCACCATCCGAAAACGGTGGACCACCTGGTAAGCATTATTCTACGGAAAAATGTTATTTCCCCCCATTTGTGTGTGTGGCTATATTTACTTATCTGCTTTTTGGTGTTTTATATATCTATCTGCTTTTTGGCACACCCATATCGAATAACGCGTGTATTGCGCACTGCTCCTTGTTTGACCTAGTCTATCATTTGTCCCATGTTCCGGCACTTTCTTTTGCAGCCCCCCGCTCACCTCGAATGAATGCTCGACGCGCTGTGACTGATAAGGCTCGATATGTGTTCGATTTGGAGAGCAGTGAAGAAAGTGATGCTGATGGTTCTGACAGTGGCAGCAGACATCCTCCAGCAGCCGGAAAACGCAAGGCACGTCGAAGCGATGACGATGACGATTTCGACCCGAAGAAAATCAGCGAAAAGAAGTACGCGTTCTATTTCCAGAATAGCCGCTTCTCAATGACTATCACACATGATTCCTTTTCTAAATGGCAGTGTCCGTTTTGTGCACAAGTTCAGTATGGTATTCAGAATTCTGCCTAATATTTGATTATTTTATAATTCATCTTTTTACGGGTAAAAACATTGCCACTGCTGCATTTTTATGCTGTGCGAAAAATTAAAGTGCGGCTGAAAAGGTTGTCGCGTTTGTTTCGTCGCATGTTCACAATTGATACCTGGCCAGAAAACGAACGTGCCACTCTATGAATGTGTGATTCAGAGCAGTCCATCCGTTTAACAACCGTTAGAAGTTAACCGTGTTAGTTGTATGATGTTCTGACGTGAAACACGACCTAGCCGATCCTTTGTGTTGAACGAACCTATGGAGTTCGCGGCGATGCCAATAGCCCCCCGGAAGAGAGTTGTTTCGGTTACATTGATGAAAATTTGCATATCCAATTTGGGTTTATCGATGGTCATGCTTCGTTCTTACTAACCGGTCGTTTTCCCGGTACACAACACAGACACTGTGTGACATGTCCAGTTTCGGTTGATAACAAGAGCGCTCACCTGTTACCGAATGAGGATATCGTCGTTATGTGATATTCTTTGTGTGCTGGTGTGAGTTGCACGCCCTAATACCCTTCTTGTTTCTTTTCCTTTTCCTCTCTCACCAGGAAGTCGAAAAAGACGTTCTCCGACAGTGATTCGGATTTCTAATATTTGATTAATATACTCAACGCATCTGAATTTATGCAGACCTATCTACGTTTTTCCTTCGCGCATGAAGTCATGATGGTTTACGAATCGGATGTCCTTGTATACATTGAATGTTCATATAACTGTCATCCGTAATTATACTGATTGGTATTCATCCATGCACCACCGGCTTATGTAACCTATCCTTATTTGTTTGTCTGTTTGTTTGTTTATTCATTCATTCATTCGTTTTTTAATTTTTCATTCCGTGTCACAAAAGTTTCCTGAGCCGTTGGATGTATAATCTCGGGGACATGTAGATCTCATTTCCCTCGTGTTGTACATGACAAGTGTTCTACTCGCATCCAACAATTACCACTACTATTGTGTTGCTCCATGGTGTTGTCTGTTTGCTTGTATCGGTCATGGGAACACGTGCTCGTAGGAGCACTTCTCTCGGGGGTTATCGTTACGTGATTTCATCTGTAGTTCTAGAATCACCTTGCCGTGGACGGGTTCGTCAATGTCCGTGCGTCGGGTTATCATACCTGTTTAAAAAATAAATTTCAATGTTTTAGCAAAATAACTGGCGATGAGACATTGCACAATGTCTCAGGAAAATTTCCTTTCGGTTGTCGGATCAGAATCTAACACCCGTTTCTAGACATGCAAATTAACACTCCAGGTCCACGTAGCTTCTTCGTTTCGGCATGAAATAGAGAAAAGGTAAACCAATTTCTTGACTGCCACGACTCGTTTTCACCGTTTCCTGTGTGTGATACACATGCACTCGAAGTAGTGACCAATTTGTGGTTAAGTAGCGTTTCCAGTTAAAAAGTCGTCGGGTACCGAAGCCGCAGCGTTTCGCAGTCGCAATCAACTTCCACAAACACATCATCACACATTGTAGTTGTGATAAGCTGACAACATTGTCCCGTTCAAATGCCGCATTTGACAGCGTGATAAAAAATCCCTATCGTGTCGCTCTTGAGTTAGAATACAGTCACCGCCACTTCACCTTCAGCCTGACTTTGGCTGACCCCCTCTTTGCTAAAAGACTTGTTTGTCAAAGATGAAATCAAACAAAAGTTTGGTGGTGGTGGCGGGACTCGAACCATAGGGTCCGAAGCACGTCAGNTCAGTGACAGTGGCTACACAGCTGCCCTTCAGTCTGGTTACCGACAGACCACGCAATCGATTTACCTCATGATAAATTGTGGCCACTACGTATTTCACAATAAATAAAAGACGAACGCTCGTGAATGTGGTTTTTCACCACGTGTCAATCCGTGCTGACCGATCGAAAGGGTGAATCACATTAGGATACGCGCGGCATTCTATTGGACGGGAACGCAGTATAGCTTGTCTGAGCAAGGTTCAACCCTGTCGGAGGATAGCGTGTGGCATTAAGAAACACAAGTGGTGTTCGAGGACACTGAACATTCAGGAACAGCGTCAACGGTTTCACATTGTGAAAGAACGCATACGTGTACAAGCAGGTTTGTGATTGTTTCCAACCGAGTCATAACCCCGGAGGCTATTGTTGATATGAGCGAGGTCTGTGGTCTGCAACAAGCTCGCAAAGATCTGTTGTGCTTTTTCGTGTAGATAGAATATAAAGAAACAGTCTGATCAGCTGCCCGATGACCGAGTGGATAGCATGCTTGCGTCCTGCCCGTGAAGTCTCGAGTTCGATCCCCAATTGGGTGGATGGGTTTGTACTGCTGATGAGACCCAATCAGGTCGAAACAGCTGTCCAATGCTTCCTAGCTTTTCAGTTCACGCTTCATTTGGTATATGCACGACGAATTCCACCTTTGAAATATGATTATTCATTAACAACAGGAGTCTTTGACTTACCAAGGCCTGACCAGCAAGACAGCGGTTCGGTGTTCGAAAACCGTTATCTATTAGGGGCCGGCTTCCGATTCATCGATTTATGCACTCCTTGGACGTGGTCAGACTTCCATGATGCGGATCGAGTCGGTGGCCACCACTACAACTAGGAGTGTGGTTCGTACTCCTTTTCTTGGTTTATTTGAAATCTGTTAATACAACTGAGGTAGACGGTCGGGGGTTCAGCAAATCGGTTAAGCCCTGGATTTCGGCTTTTCATCCTCCTTTTGGTGGTAAAATCTCCGCCACTTACCATATTGAGGCCTTCGGAGGCATTTAGTGTAGTGTGACTGACGGCGTTAGAGGACAGCATCACATGTTACGAGCTTATAGGTATTAGTGTTGACCAGTTTCCAAGGTTAACGTTTGGTGGTGGCTGACGTCGCATGCTTGTCGGTCATATGATTCAGTGCATCACTTTAGCGGAGTCAACTGAATAAAATAAGGGTACAAAAGCGGGTGCTATTTGTCAAGGCAAATCGGAATTCGGTTAAGACACGGTGTAACGTGGAGTCGTGCACACAAAATGAAAACGAACGAAGATAGACGAGTGCGTGCACTACGAACGACGCTAGATATGACTGGTCGAGTCCTCCTAGGATATGGTAATTTTTGCTAACTCTAGGAAGAAGTATGAAATTGCTCCGTAATCAGGATTTTGATGCAGTCAGTTGTCTGTGGTAGTGCTCGCAAATACCTTAGATCCGACAGAATAATTGCACAAAAACATTGGTTCAGACGGTTGAGGAATACTACTACGTTGGGAATAGGAATGAGTATAGTCATTCGCTTTAAAATGTAGGGGTAAACAAGGAAACAGTACAGCCATTATTGAAGAATTTCAACTGTTACAAATTTGAGGATCATATTTAGGGCCATAGGCTCTTCAAATATGAAATGCTGTCGGCAGACTCGTACATAAAACCAGGAAACTTGATGTAACAAGATCAAGTCGAGGTCTTATAGGGCGTCAGGTTTAGGAAGAAAGCGATTGTTGACAAGATTGAGCAGACCATCGAAAAGTGGTAGCTGGAACCAGTTTGAAGTTACAAATTAACATTACTATTTGACCATTCGAAATGTATTACGGATGTTTTGTATGCACTGTGTAGGTGATTCTAGTGATCACCAGCTTGAACTATTGTTCAAATAAGATACTGACGTCGTCCCCCTTCAAATTATAAGGAATCCCCATTCCCTTATTTCACTGACGCAACAGGTTTCGTGTGTCCAAACCTTGTGATCTCGATTTTCGGCATTACCATATGAATCGCTCCAGATTATGCAAAACTGGTTTGACAAATCCAATGCCCTTTAGGAATTTCAAATAAGCGAAAACAAGCATCATCACAGAACAGATTGAATTCGACATTTTCGAGTTATCTCCTCAGCTGTGTATAAACATTCATGTGAAAGTTCTATTTGGACAACGCCAAATCTTCAAACACCAAAAGCACTCGATTTGGCAAAGTCAATGTGAAGGTCACTAGTCGCACTCGGGTTGAACAAAGGGATTTGGTGGGTGGACATACCTACGGATTGGAACCATGGCAGGACAAGGCCGGTCACAAAGTCTCGTTACTTATCGAGGTCTGGTTTGTGAAACGTAATGGTGACAGCCTCGGCAAACCGTAATAACCGGCTAGTCTTCTATCGGCTTATCACCCGGATTACTTGTTTCGGATCGATGCAAATTTTACAGTCCAGTAGATGGCGGACAGTAAAGCTGCAAGGATTCTTCGAGCCAATCAGCGATGAATTTTTCAAAGCACTAAGATCCGAGTGGCAAAATATCTAATAATTCTTTCCATAAAGCGCTTTGAAATAGGTTAATACACTGGAGGGCAAATTGAGAGTTTAGTTTGTCCAAGTTGGATGCAGTAATCACTCATCTGTTTTTATGGAGAATATTTAGCGAAGTGGCGTCGTAGTACGTTCTTGAAAGAGCTGGTTTTACCAGTTGTTACCCTACTTTGTTTATCAGACACGCTAACAGTTCTGTATTCTGCGAATACTCAAACGTCGACGTGCGCACCAGATTCTTACACACAGAACCCAGTTAGAAAACATTTTTCCATAATTTGTATTTCGATTGTTCGCAATGCGATCTCAGGTTTTGAAAGGAAAATGTAGGAGCAGAGCAGACTCGTTAGCAACTTCATTTTTACATGTGGCGTGGACAGAAAATCGAACTGAAGGAGTATGATTAAAATTCTTATTAGGAAGGAACTACGGTAAGCGCATTTACAATGATTGGATAAGGTTTACTGATAATCCGACTAGCCTACTTTGTTTTTAAATGTGAAATGTTCAGTTTTTCATTCATGAGTTTGTTTCGGAGCTTTGTCCTGTTAGGATTTACTGTTGAGAAGATACTCTCCTTTGGTATAGTTCTCATCTACTGTATTTGAGATGTACATTTCGTCAAACCTGTTCGATAGGTGCAACGGCACTCTAAAGCTCACTATGTTGTTGCAGACAGTTTTACCGTTGGTTCACCTGGATGG